AGCCTCAGCATGAACCTCTTAGTTTTTCTACATAGAGAACCCTCCCAGCAGGATGATTAGAATACTGTGTGCAAAGACAGCACCAAAATTCAATTAAAACTGGCAATTTTTGTTGGAAACAGACTTGGGAGATCATTTCACATCTCAAAAGCCAGCTTGTATCACTGAGCCAGAAAGCATGGTTTACAGGAAAGGCATGTTAAGGACAGTGCATGACTTGGACATTTGACACTGGGAGATATGGGCTCTAAAATCTGGTATACACAGAACATTTGCTACCAAACTAGTTTTTGATTTTTCAACACTTTCATTGCCTTCTTCCACACTTCCCCCCTGAAATTCTTTGGAACTAAAGGAGTCATCGTAATTGACCTTTAACCATGAAATATTGGCTGGTAGTACAGACAATGCCTCCACAAGGTCAAAGTTGGTTGGATAAAAACCAGATCCTAGAGCTCTGACCTCGTCATATTTAACAATCTCTAAAGACAGTCCAAGAAAAATTGAAGAGCAAACATGCTCTTCTCCAAATAGAAATTCCCTCCAGGGTAGGATTTAAGAGAAAATTTTCCATTGCTGCAGCCTGAGTTGGATTTGATCAGTGAATATTTAAGAATTCAAGGAAGCTTTCTGACTTCAGTTTGACTGAAGTTTGATCAAGGTTTCTATCCTGGGGATTTCAGAGATTTCTTTCCTAGCACCAAGTCCAAAGAAATGGATAGCACTCACATTAAAAAAAAAGAAAGAAAAATAAATAAAATAACATGAACATCTGGAAGTCGTCCCTCAAAAATGGTTGTGTATAATCAGGATTAAGCCATTACATGTCTTGCTTCTTAAATGATGGAAAATTGAATTGTTCTGAATTACAGTTCTCTCTGCTAAGAACCTGCTACAGGCAGAAAATAAAAGCAACCACTGCTTAAATAGCAGCCGCAGAATTCCAACTTTTGAAAAACTCAGGCTTCCCCTTCACAAACCATTCAAACACTGGAATGTAAAGTAGTGATGAAAAATGAAAACCATGTCAGCCCAGTAAGCGATATATTAAAAGCAAAGTGTTTGGAGTCAAAGGCCCTTAAATAAATCTAAAATACATACTTTATTTTAAGCCCTAAATCTGCTGCTGCTAATCCTCATATTTAAAGCCAGAAATCTATTTTCCTGGAAAGCAGCTGAAGCAAGATGGAATTTGACATGGCTAGCACCACACTGTTACTGTCTTCAATATTTGTTGTGTCCATCATTACCAGTAATATCTCTCTGTTGTATTTCAAAATTACTCTTATACTTAATGTACTCCAATGAATAGAAAATAGCCAAAACCTGAAAGCCCAATTCCCTGTTCTCTGGTGCAATAAATACAGTAGTTGTAGGTGGTATCCTAACCTGCTAAACCGCCCCATTTCCTTCGCTGACAGCAGCCAGCATTCACACCTTGTCTTTTCATCAAACTTTGCACACGTTTAATCCTGAGCCAACTGTGGGCCTGGCAAGAATTTTTGTCACCCTTTTAGAGTGCAAGGAACTGGAAGAGGGAGGTCAATGAGCTGCCCAGGGCCTAGAGGTTCGTGATGCTATAATAAGAGTTAGAAACTGGAGGTGATGTGGTCCCATGGCTATGGCACATGCTCCTGGGAGCCAGGAACTCTGCATTTGGTGTTCTCTGCAGCAGAGAGGTGGAAGGGATCTTCTGTGATCTCTTCTGCCTCTGAACATCAGTTTTAACACTAGCACCTGCTTCTTACAGGAGTCCTTGGACAGAAGGGGTCATAGCACAACGAAATTCTTCTCCATGTGCCTCTGGGTATTTCTGTGTGCAAAGATGGATGCAGAAGTGAGAATAGATGCAGTGAGAAAGATTTATAAATTCTTACTCTAATTTAATACAATTATAAATATACTATTACTCAAAGATTTAGAAATTATCTTTTCTAATGTGTGAGAAGCAAGGAGAAAAAAAATGACATGTTGCTGTGAGATTCTAGTGCCTGAATTTTGGGCTCTTCTGTGACAATGAATAAGAGCATTAGCCTTGGGCAGAGGTGCCCATAGCCCTGTGGAGCTCATGGCAGTGAGGGCAGTGGGAACCCCTCCAGTCCTCAGTGCAAAATAAATATTTGTCTGCCATGTGAGCCTCTGAATAGCATCCAGCAAGAAATTTGAATAATAATTAATAGCTTGCTCCCAGCAGAGAGGAAGCTTCTAAATTTCTTCTGGCAGGAACTTTGTGAGGAAGAAGAGCCCAGTCCTTGTGCAAGCACTGCAGGCACTCCTCCTGACAGCTAATGCCTCCAGCTTGACCACAGGCTTCAGCCTTGACAGATCTTTGAATCCCTGTTTCTCCTTTTTTTAATATAAAAACCTATTGGTTTAGGTTAAAATCAGAAAATCCCTTGGGGTTCAGTGGGATGGGACTAATTAGGCAGCATGGACATAATGTGGTCTACACAAGCAGTGACTAACTCCTGACATATGGCTAATGAACAGACCTGACAAATAAATGAAACAGGGCAGAGTTTTCTCCTGCCAAGTAACACATTTTTGTGCCAAATATATTTGAAACAAAATAATCCAAGTAATTCTGTTGATTTTTAATCCCAGGTTTTGATTTTCACTTTGTTTTTAAACTTCTCTGATCTTTGTGAAGGGGAGGTGGAGGGACTAAGGCTCATATTTCTATCCTTTTTTTCCACAGACAAAGGAAAGGGAGAGGAGAGAATGGAAGAAAAATGCTTGTGTTCAGTCTTTCTCCATATCTCCTCAGATACTTTATTTCTCCCACTTTTCTGGCTGGGGACTATAGTAAGAGAAAAAGTGGAGGCAATATATGAAATTAGGAAGGAGCAAAGGTTTCTTTCTTTTATTTATTCTTGTTTGTTTTGTTTTCCCTCTTTTTATTACAAGTAGTTAAGAGATTGATGAAATGATACTGAAAATTCACCAATTCAAATACTGAAAAGTTAAATCCAATCAAAGACTTGTTGAGCAACACTGAATTAAAAAGTTGAATTTTGATTTACTGAAATGTTTTACTGGAATTAAATACTCACAAAAAGTTGCATCATAAAGTTAATATTCCAATAGTAGGAGAATATAACTGATAAAGGAAGGGTACAAATAGAGAATAAACAGGCAATAAACATAAAATGCAGAAACAAATTATTTCAGGTCATGATTCTGGAATCTGTGATATTTCCCATAATATGGAGGACATTGTAGAAACACCAGTCAGTCTCAACCTTCAAGGCACTGAGTTTTCTTAGCACCTTGTCATTTCCACTGAAGTGTAACATCTTCAGTATCTCACAGTATCTGCCCCCCGCTCCCATATGTCTGGTGCGAAATTTCCCCAGACTGCCTCCATATGGGACTGCTCTGGTCATGGAAAAGCTCCCTGTCTCCAGCCCTGCTGTGTCACTTGTTGCAACCATGACTTATGGATGAGCTTTATCACTGCATGAGAGACTCAGCCATCCACAGCCAAGTAGTGAAAACCACAATCCTTGGAATAAAATAAACCAACATACAGTTATTGCCACTGTTGCTTTTGCTACAGTCAAGGGAGCCTTCAAAATATGTTTCCAAGTACATTTCCCAACGTCTCACCTTCAGAGCTTTGTTTCACAGGCCTCGCCTACAAATCTCAGCCCCCACCCAGGCATGCTGATGGTCTGTTCTATGCTGAGCCTCCATCACTGTGTGACTGAGAGTCTCTGTCACACACACCGTGCCAGAAATGCTCTACATACTTAGAGAAGTCTGGGCTGTCCTTTCATATGACCTTAGTCTGACTAAAATTACTCTTCTGTGCTTGAACCATGCAGCTGATATTCTTCATGATGAGGAGATAAATATCAGATCAGGATGGAGTTTCTTTTTTTTGTTGTTTTTTTTTTTTTAACTAATAGAGGGACTAAAATCTGACACTATCTAATTATTAAAATATGAGGAAAGGGGGAAAATGGATGGTTTATACACTCATACCAGACGACAATTTTGTCACTCAGCATCACCTTGTTTGGAGGCAAGGTCTTGAAACTGGGCTGTCTGCTCACTGAAGATACTGGGAAACACCTTTGGGTGCTCTCAGGAGGCTTTTGCCTATATTGGGCAAGCTAATTTTAACTTCCCTAATGTTACATCCTTTCCCCAGAGGTTTTGCCTGCACTGAGCACCTGTCAGTCACTCTGGGGCAATAGGAAAGGAGCCAGACTTTCTGCACCACTGCTCCCCAATTTCCTGCCATTCTCTCCCTCATGCTGGACCAAGCACAGTGGCTTTCTGTCCACTTCCCAAAGGAGTCTTTTACTGCCAGTTTGGACTGAGCTGTTTCGTTTTGGGAGGTCTTCATAATCAAGCACCACTAGAGGACTTGAAACAAACCAGAGAGATTTCATGGTTTCCTTTCAAAGGACTCATGTACCAGGAATCAGCTGTGTCTCTGAGGAGCTGTATTCACAGGGAACTGGGGAAGCCAAGCCCAGGGTGGCAGCCTGGGGACATGATCTGGGATTTGTGGACTCTCAGTGAGTATCTGTGCTGCATGGAAAGTGCCACTGAGTAACGGATATGCCTTCCTGTGTGCTGAAAGCAGGAGATTCTGTCATGTACAGACAACTTCTTTATCCCAAGAGTGCATGACTTGCAGCCCAAGCCTGAGACACCTCTGCAGCACTCCCCATTTCTGCTGATGTGTCACCTTGGATGCTCCCATGGGGGTCAAGGCTCTGTGGTGGAAACACAGAAGCTATGGAAAAAGTATCTCCCCGTGACCTGTGTGCTGAGGAGAGGCACTGCCTCCCTGTAGCTCTCTGGCAGTGGTGCCAGCTTCTGTGGAGCAGAAATTGCTCTCTGTTCCTGCTTATTCAGATGCTGAGCACCCAGGTTACCAAGGTGTTGCAAGGACTAGCAACTAAGGCACTCTAATGCACTTTACCACCCCATTTACCTTTCCTAAAATCCAGTTTCCAAAAGATACGGCTATCTTCTTCACTTACCTAGAAGGTCATTTCAGAGACCAGCAGGCCTGTGCCAGACTCCTTCCATCAGGAGCCTCTCAGGAGAGTCTGTATGGCAGTGCTGGTCCTATTCAACCTACATGACACAAAAAAGAGGGAGGTCTGCTTAGATTTTTTTTTTTTTTAACAGTAGAAACAGGAAAAAAATCATACTCTTGGTGAAAACAATGGAAGAAATAAAATTAATGCTTATTACTTCACCCCCTTTCCTACCTCCATGTATTCCTGGTCTGAGCCAGGGGACTGGGAGAACTAGAATTTAACCTAAATCCCCCCACTTTGTGTCACTTCTTTTAGATATTTTTGGAGGGAGATGTTGCAGGTGACCTTCTCAAATGCCTGTACCGTGTGTAAGGGGGAAAAGTGGTAAAAGCCATGACTAGAATATCAGGAAGAAATCAGTAGTCCTCTGGAGACCTGGTATGCTACAGCCCTCCAATCTAGATAGAAACAGCAGTGTGTGACTCAGACAACCACCATCCTCAGTAGTCAAGGAGGACTTTATGGGTTAGTCCAGCACAGCTCCATGAGAATTGCAGTGTGCTGGCAGCAAGCAGGGTCAGCTCACAAACAGCAAAAGGACAGAAAGGTCACATTTATACCAAATGCCAGGCCTCAGACTGTGCTGCCACTTCCATCTGTGGCCACACACCTGATGATAGAAACACTGTGAGTGCTTGGTCAGAGCTCTCACTGAGCAGTGTGGCCCTGTCAGGCAGCCCTGCACAGCCCAGAGCACGGGCTGAAGGTGTGTAACACTGCAGAGCTGCTCAGCATTGGCAGCAGAGCCAGGAACATCATGTCTTTTCCAGCTGCAGCTCTTGCAAATCCGTGGGAAACTTCTCCTCTCAAATATCGCCATTAGTTTGCTATATTCATTCTTGTTGTCTGGCTTGTATTTCTGGGTGCAGATAATTCCAATGCAGTTACATAAAGCTATCCTCCATTTTGGTATCAAGCCATATATTTTCAACTCTATAATATTTGTCACTAATATAAGCATATATTTATATGTGTAAAATGCCAAATTGGCATATGAACTCTTGGCTAAGCCAGGGCCTGGAGACTTCTCCACATGGCATCCCTCCAGGCTGCAGGGATTGCTTCCACTTCAAATAACTACTTTTCCTTGAAAGCTTCTGTGGCACCTGTGTTAACAACAGCAAGAGACCCTCAGGACCCTGTCAAAGCACACTTGGCAGCTGCATAGCAGGGAGGGAGCACTGACTTTTGTATCCTTGTCCCTTGAACCTCCCTGTGCTGTGAAAGCAGAGCCATGTGTGCAGCCCATTGGCAAAGCCTTCCTGTGCCACAGGCTCCTTTTCACCACAGCTGAGCTCCCAAACCCCCATCACCTCCCATCTGCAAGGTATTCTCACATCCAAGCCCAGAACAGCTCTGCCTGTGTTGGGATGCTGCTTCAGCACTCAAAACAGACTCATCTTGTCTATCTCTCCCTCTTTCTTTATTGGCCCTGCTCTGGCTTCCCCAGTTAAGCTGCCCAAGCACCTCACAAACCAAAAATTTCCTGAAAAGTCTCCTCCCTGGGGCTGCCTTGGCTGCTGTGTCCACTTTCTCATTTTGTGCTGCTTCTCACACATCATCTCATAGTAGCAGGCTCTCTGAATCTAGCACTCCAGCAGTAAGTGACAAAGAAGTTGATTGCAAACAGATATTTTTGGTATGCATACATGTGAATGCATACTTATGTTCAAGACTGGAAATATTAAAATTGTTTTATTTCCTTGTATTTTCCCCCACTCATTTCATGTTCCATTTTTAGCTGTGCTTGCAATTTACTTGGAACCTGCCCTCTTAAGTCAGATGGATGAATTATTGCTTTGCTTTCTATGGGAAAATAATACTATAGAACAGTCACTCCAGCATACACAAGTATTACTGGCAAGGAATATGTAGGTAGTTTAGATTTATATGGCTGTAAGTGAAAGCAGAACTTGGCTCTGTTCTGCCTGACTGTCATGAAAAGAGATAGTCACAATGGGCTTTAGTATGAACTTGGCTCCTAGAAATTACAGCAATAAAAATAGCAGTGCCATCATTTGTTAATTTTAATTATTCCAAAGCTCAGACATTCAATCCTGTTCTTAAACGGATGTGCTGAACAGAAACATTGAAAAGAAAGTAGTAGTTCTTTAACCAGCACAATACAGACAACATAAAGCCCTCCAGGAATTTATACCATCAGCACATGGTTTGAATACTACAGGTTCTTCTAGACAGAAGAAAAAAAATTCTTTTCCATTTTTTCCAACATCCTTTTTTTTCCATATTTGTAGAGTTTCTTAAGCAAGTTTCTCTTACTGAGGTGAATTCTATGCAAATGTAGAGACACATTATGGTGGCTGACCCATGCCTTGGACACTTGCAGGCAAAAATGCCAGCAGCCAGGCTGTGATCCTCATGTCTTAACAAAAGATGGTCAGGAGACTACAACCAACAGGAATCAGAAGGAAGAAAACAATTATATTTTTTTTCTTTTTTTTTTTTTTTTTTTTT